ACAACAGAACCCCCAAATACTTCAAGCAAAACTAAGAGGAAAAATAGACAATTCAAACATAATATTTGGAGACTTCAATAACTCATTTAAAAAGATTTTTTCAAAACTTATTGAAGTATAATTGACATGAAATTGTATATATTTCAAGTATACAACATGTATAACATTTGATATGTGCATACATTGTGAAATGACAGCAATAATTAACACCGCAATCACTTCACATAGTTATCTCACTCTTAAAAATAAATAAAACATATAGGCAAAACAATTTAAAAATGTTTATATGAGATATGAACATTATAAGATAACTAAACCTGGCAGGCAGATACCTATAGAATATTTCACCCAACAACTGTACAAAACACATGCTTTGTACATATACCTGGAACATTTCCAGTGTAAACTATGCAATAGGTCAGAGGAAAAAACCTCAATAGATTAAACAGACCGAAATAAAACAAAGTATGTTCTCTGACACAGCAAACTGAAATTAGAAATCAACAAAAAGAAATTAGAAAAAAATGTAAAATGTACAAATTAAACCATATTACTACTTTCTAAACAATATATCAAAAATTCAAGAGAAAAATTAGAACATTAAAAGACAGCTGACAGCCAGGTGTAGTAGTACATGCCCATAATTTCAGCACTATGCAAGGCTGAGGATCACCATGTTCTAGCCCAGCCCAGTCAAACTGGCTAGATCCTGTCTCAAAAAATGAAAAGGGGCTAGGAATATAGGTCAGTGTGAAAACTCTGGGTTTAATCCACAGTACCAGCACACACACAGACACATACACACACACACACACACACACACACACAGGAACAGTGCATAAAAAGATAACTGACTTTTGTAAATAAAAACTGTTAAGTAGTATTTTACATATAAGATCTAATTTTTTTTTCAAAATTCATCAAAATGTTAGCTTAAGATATCCACATTTAACCAAATATACAATTGTCTTAAATATTAAAGGTAAAGAGGGGTAGGGGAAAGGAAAGAAGGGAAAAGAAAAAATATGAGAGAAGGAAAAAAATGGAAACAAAGTCTTTATAAATAGGGAAGAGTGGAGAGGGTGAAGGGAGGGCAGGGGAATGAGGAAAAAATAAGAACCAAGATACATCATGTAAAGGTACAAGATCCCAATGATGAATGTAACTGTATTTTATACCTAAAATGTACTAATAAACTTAATGGGAAAAAAGTAAAGGTAAAAAAGAGTTATCAACATCAAATTTTTACAAAAATGCTTAAATAGAATACATAACCAAAAAACCACACAAAAAAGGCAAAATGGAATTTTCTTCTTGTGAGGCTGCATTTACATAAACTGATAGTTTCATAACTCTAAGACCAATCCCTACAGCAAACAGTAAATGTAACACAAAAAGGTATATGAAATACTTTAGTATCTCTTTAGATACTTTAGTATCTCTTTTTTTGGAGGGTGGGAGGATACTGGAGATTGAACCCAGGGATTTCACAGGAAGCCATATCCAGTCTTTTTCTTTAATTTTTAGAGATAAGAGTCTCACTAAATTGCCCAATTGAGAAACTTGCAATCCTCCTGTCTCAGCCTCCCTATGTTGGGATTACAGGTGTGTATTACCACGCCCAGCTACTAAGGTAGCTTTAAAAATTACTACAAAACTTATATACTATAACATAAGCCATATTTACTTGTTTGTTTTCCATTAGGCTCTACTGCAGTAATGTACATTCACCACATAATCTATGCCTAGTGCATGGTGGGAACGGGGCAATCAATTAAAACATTTAACAGAAACACAGTAAGTGAATAGAGATAAAAATGATCCAGAATTCAGAAGGTTATTTGCCTTTAAAGAAAGACTTGTCATCTTAAAAAAAGTAGGTATAGGAGACAATGAAAAAAAAACCCTACTAATTAAAAAAAAAAAAGAAGAAGGGGCAGGGATATAGCTCACTGGTAGAGTACTTGTCTAGCATGTGCAAGGCCCTGGGTTCTATCCTCAGTATCACGCACACACACTCAAAAATATGGCAAAAACATAAGAGTATGAAACTGCTTTTAGTAATGATTGAGCAACTCTACTAGGCCAACCATTCTGCTGAGAAAACTAAGAATGCTGGAAGATATTATTTGAAAACACTTTTAACCCAAGAAAGTAATGCTTTGAAAACACAAGATCTCAGAAGAGAAGCTCAAGGAATAAGCCCCAAATTTAGTACCTCTTTTCCCTCAAAATGCATGCTAAGTCAAATGAGGTAGTCACTGAGAAGTTCAAGTTGTAGTTAAGAAACTAAGCAACTTACTACGACTTCTAGCAATCTCAGAAGTTCATAGGACATGGCCTGAAGCTCAGGGTGCACCAAGGAGAAATGCTCTAGAAGACAACCCAGAATTTTATTGGGCCTCTCTGATGGGTTATGCACCAAATATCAATATGGATCAGAAATAGAAAACACCTTGAAAAACCTGAGATACAGTTTCAAAAGGACTAACTCCCTGACATCTATGAGATAAGCCTATTGCCCCTGAGAAGCAAAAGCAAATGTTCGCTACATGAAGACAAAAAAAAATCATTCGGAACTTCCAGTTACTTTTATGGTATTTCATACAGAACATCCACCAAGTAATAAACAGTAATCATATGTGCAAACTCATAAATAGAAAAAAAATGATCACAACCAAAACTGTGAAGGATTTTCTATATTAACTGAGGATAAACAGCAAAGGAAGAATGACTTACATACACCCATAAATTCAGAGCAACACTAAGATATCACTGCACACATATTTGAAGAACTATAGTTAAAAATATTGAATATAACAAGTCTGGCAAGCATGTTAAAGCAGCTATGACTCTTACACTGCCTGTAGGATGTGAAATGATTTAACAGCATCTGAAAACATATCAGCATATTATAAAACAACTTTGAAATACACCTGCCATATGATCTAGTAATTCCACTCCTTGAAGTTTGGCCAAGAAAAATGAAATTGTACATCTATAAAAAGACTCATACATGAATGACCATAGCATGAGAAAGTGGGAAGGACTCAGAAGGGGAGAATCTAAAGGTTCACAAGGAAACCTGGGGAGAAGGATGGATATGGTGATGGCATCTGTTTCCTGTATCCATCTGTCTGTCTCTCTCTCTCTCAAACATGCACATACACACCAAGATATGTACTGTTTATTTTAAATAGTGCAGCTTATTTTAAATCACTTATACCTCAACTAAGCTGTTAAAATTGTGTGAGATATGCCTAAATGCATCTAAAGGAAAATTTAGAGTGCTAATACAGAAGAAGAAAGCCTACAAATATAATATTTGAAATATACTTCATGAAATTAGATAATAAATCAAGATAATCAACCCAATTTTAAACATAAAATAGTAAAATTAACATCAGTTAATAAAATATAAACAAAAAACTAATGGCAAATCTAAGAGGTGTTTTGTTTTGTTTTCTGAAGGGATAAAAACCTGTTAAATCCCTAGTAAGACTGAACAAGGAAATAAGAAAAGAACACACACATTATCAATAGCAGGAATGTAAATGGAATGATCACTGTGATAGTAAAGAAACATGCAGTATGGTTATTAAGCAAATTATGTCAATAAATCTGAAATTCCTAAAATGATGAAATAAAAAGTAGCAGAACAGCTAAACTAGGAAATCTCAAGGATCCTGTATCTATTCAATAAGTTGCATCTCTATAGGAAAACTTTACTATAAACCAGTGGTGGGGGACCAATGCCATGTGTGCCACAGCAGGCTGTTTGTTATCACTGAAAGCTCTAAAAGGTTCGCCATCACTGGTATAAGTGAATTCCATGTCTTGGTGCCTGAATTCCCAATCTTTCTCACATAATTGAGAATTAAGTAACACTTATCTTAACCTTTTACACTTGAGTAAAAACTCTGCCTAAAATGTTTAATAAGACCCCTATAAATTTTATACCAAGCTGACAAGAATATTATATGAAAGGAAAATCAAAGCTGTTATACCTCAAGACAAACAACTGAATCAAATTAAAACCTTACATTTGACAAATAGAATTCAAAACTACTTCAACTATAACACCACGACCAATTGATTGGTTTAACATTTTCAAATCCAACAACCTTGACAAAAAAGGAATACAGCCATGTCACTATGGGAACAGACACAGAAAAACCATCTGATATAATTTACCACCTAATTATGAGTTTTTAAATAAAATCTTAGGAAAACCACAGTATACATTATATAATTAGCAGCAAAGTACTGAAAACTTAAGATCAAAACAGAGACAATATATCTACCCCATCAGTTCTATTTAACACTGTAGTGACTAATGAAAAAGAAAAAAAGCATAAACATTAGACACATGAAATTTTCACTGTATTTAATTATAGAATACATAATTATGTTTCCTGAGTACCCAAAAAGAAGCATGTAGGTAAATGCATTAGAATTAGTACATTATTTACTAAGCTTTATGGATACCACACAGATAAACATGAACTTTTTTTTCTGAGAATAGCAATTCTTGGTAAACTTTTCATATGCATCATAAGAAATGACAAAACATAATTTTAAGGCTTTTTCTATGCTTATCAGATAAATTTTGTGAGTCATTCTAGCCCTTAATATTGTAATTTTTTTGATATCATGGTTATAGAAATCCCAAAATGTAGAAAAGATTTTATAATACAATTGACATTTAATCCAAGGGGAACAAGAAAAAGTACTCTGCATGGTTTTACCTATGGACCTTTGTTTAATGATCTCATCAACTAATTAGAGATCAGGTATTTTAAAGTGGATCATAATTACTTTCTCCACAAAAGCTGGTGATGCTTGCTTGTTTCTTTTTGTTTTTTAGTTCTATGCTTCAGTACTACCTTTTAAGGTAGTTTTTCTACTACTTTAGAAGGAAAACAAAGGCAAGATTATCTTTTTCAAAAACAATCACTAGTACTGTGCTACCATGTGACCGATTTTATTGTACTACTTACAAATTTGACTTATCCTCAGTGTAAAATTTTCAAAAGATGCATATTTTCTCTCAAAGTAACCCAATTATCACTGAAGATAATCTGCAGAACAAATTTTCACATAAATCTGTATTTACATAAGAATACACATGTACATACATATTAAATTATACTTTCTTTTCTATTAGCAATATATCATGAAAAATATCACCTGGAAGTATATAAGATATACTGATTGGGTGTATAGCTACATACTGTCCATGGAATTAAAACAATATAATCTATTAAAACTTAAGTACTTTGGAAGTTTTATAACTATACATTTACATTCATTTGTGAATAGCTGTATTGGATACAATCCTAAAAGACACATTATTTTTCTAAAGAGTAAAAGAAAAAATAATTTGCTAATGTTAAATTAATTTTCAAAAACTCAGTACCCTTTTAGTCTCCCTTGATAATTTGTATTAAGATAAAGGAGAATCTTATTTATTTAATTTGCATTTAAGTATGCTTTTAAAGTAGTTTGTTATTAAAACCGTATGCTTTTATTATATAAATTATTGATGCATTTTGCTATTCCCTTTGTTAGTTTATAATTTATAAGTATTTGAAATATTAATAATTTTATATATTAAACCTGTTCAAATACTTGTTACTTCTACTTATGCTCAATATATTGCCTGCTACTGAATCAACTCATATATGTCTCATATTTACATAGATCAATTCAGATATGAAATATGACTTTCCAAAGCAAATATTTTACAATATGTAACACGAGTGTCACTTTGCTATTTGTTATAAAAACTCTTAATTTCTTCTCACATATTTTCTTATGCATGTCAAATAAGCAGAAATGAGCAATTTTAAAAAGCAATCCTTATATTTTTCTTGGAAATATGCTTATTTCATTTTGTATATAAGTTGAACATATTTATATATTTTAATAAAAATATGTATTTTCCCCATGAGAGCTTTTCTTTTGCTTTTCCTGTTGTTGTATTTTTATTTACATAAACTGAATATTTTATTATTGAACTACATGACATATGAAATATAAAGAATATTACTGACATTAACAAATGTATATCAACTGAAATCTGAAAAATACAGATACCTTACCTACTTCAGAACTATGATTTAAAAGACGGCTTTCTTCCCAAGAAAATCTAAAACCAGTGAAAAGTGTTTCCAATGCTGAAATTAAAAAAACAAAAAAACCTGTCAGCCCAGAATTCTATATCCAGCAAAATATACTTCCAAACTTAGAATAAAATAAGATACAACCACATTTTCAAACCTTAGACAATTTATTACTTGATACAATCTAATTCATATTGGTAACAGCGCGTCTTGAAAACTGAGAGTCAAAATGGCGCCCTCCGCTGGTGGCATTTGATGACGACGTTAGCGCATGCCTGTAATCCCAGCAACAACGGAAGCTCAGGTGGTCCAGACTAGCCTGGACAAAATAGCGAGACCCTACAACTAAAGCGAGACAAAATAGCGAGACTGCCACAACTAAAGATCCAAGGGAGGAATTTAAGTTGAATAATAAAAAGTTCATGGGAGGGGCAGGGGAAAGGAAAGAAGGGAAAGGAAAAATGATGAGAAATTGAAAAAATGTGAATAAAGTCTTTGTAAATAGGGAAGGGTGGAAGGGGTGAAGGGAGGGCTAGGAATGGGGAAAAAATTTAAAAAATTAAAAATAAATAAAAAATAAAAAGTTCAAAACATAAAATTATATGAAAAGAAGAAAAGAGAAACAAAAAGTTGGAAAAATGGCAGACTAACAGCAAGATGATAAATTTTAAATAAAATAAAATAAAGACATTAATTGTTCAAAGTCTAAAACTTCAAATTAACATGCAGAAATTTCAGACTGAAAAATAGCCAGTAGTAATTTTATGCTATTTATGTTAAGAGCAATATAAATTGAAAGCCAAAGTAAAGGTGAAAGCAATAATAGTATAGTGCAAAATTAAGATCAGAAAACTGGAATAGGTACATTAATACCAAACAAAGCAGACTCCCAGAAATGAAAGGTAGTGAGAGATAAAGATGGACATTTCATCAAGATCAAAGAATTCATTCATCATGAATAGAAAAAACCAACATCATTAATATGAAAAATGTCATTATTGAATCTGAAAACACATAAAATACAAGTGATTATATGCCAATAATATAAAAATACATGCACTATGAAACCACAAGTAAATCCAACTTTAAAAATAAAGGTGAGAAAATCTATATAGTCCCATATTTATTAAACAAATTGTACCTATAAAGAAAATCCTTCCTGAGTCCTGTGCTCTAGTGATTAAATTGGTGAGTTTCCCCCAGAATCGAGAAATAAATGACATCGATCTCACACAAAAACATTACAGAGACTAGCAACACTATGAAACTTCTCCAAATATTTTAAGTGTTTCACATAAATTTTACACCAAACTGACAAAGTATCAATCACATAAAGAGGAAAAGCAGAGAGCATATCTTTCATGACAAAACAAAAAATAAGTATATTTGGCAAACTGCATCCAAATTATGTGAAGTCTGATACACCATAAACAAATTGTATTTTATCACAGAATGAATATATTTGGATTAACAGTATGAAATTAACACCAGAAAAGCAAAGGAATTTAAAATGTTATTATAATATATGCAAAATGATACCTTATACATTTAAGAAAAAAATCATTAAACTGCAGTTAATACCATAGTCAGTGGTGAAAGAGTCAAATACCTCCTAGTGATCAGATATGAGAAAAAGATTCCTAATATTACCTGTTGTATACAATACTTATGTAGGTCAATAATACAAGAGAAAAAAGATACAATGATTGGAAAGGAATAAATTGAAATTGTCATTATTCACCTACTGAATGTATTTCCATACCAACATCAATCTATCTACTATATATTAGAATAAAAGAATTTGGCAAGATTGCTGGATACATGGTTTATAAAATAAACTAAGTGTAATTCCAAGTACCAGCAATAAGTAAAGGTCAAATTAATTAAAAATATTGTTTACAACAATTTCAAATATGAAACTATTTGATACAATTTTAATGAAAGTTAGGCAAGATTTTTATACAACAAACTATAGGAAACTACTGAGGGGAATTAATGAAGATAAGAACAAATGGCATGCAGAACAAAATTTATTAAATGGAAAATTTAATTTTTAGGGTGATCAATTCTTTCTCATTTGAAGCATATATCATTTCATTCAACGCAAACTCAAGTTAAATCCCAAAAGTAATTCATGTGTTCTGTAAATCCTTAAATTTGAATATTGGGCTAATGAAGAGAATTAATAGAAAATTTGATTTTAATTAAACAGAATGAAGAAAAACCTGTTGATAAATAATAAAGGCACTTCTGTAAATTGTGGTTTTTCTGACACTAGAGTTAACCATGGTGAAAATATTCTGCTGATAGATCAATAAAGTGACAGCTACACTTTATATTTTAATATCTCACCTTATTCTGTTTCTATTGTTTAAGACTATTTGGCTGATAACCTATCTCTTGAGTTTTCTTATAGCCTGTTATTCAAGAATAAATCTTTTAAACCATAGGGATATCTTTCATTTTTATGATGACTTTAAAATGGCACACTTAAAATAGAACTTGGGGTGTATAATTTACTTCCTATTTAAATGTTACCATCTCTGTGTTATACTATGGATTATGTTCAGGTTTGTGTCATATACTTAGTATACAGATCCTATAGAATGGAAGTACTTATGTTTTGCTTTGCATGTTTGAAAAAAGACAGTAAGGTCAGAGAAGAATAGAGAAGTTTATGGATAGAATAGCAGAATTGCCATCTTATAACCACGTTGCTACCATTACATTACGCTCTTTTGATATTCCATATGTGAATTTTCATAAATATGGCCATTTATCCACAACTGGAGGCAGATACATTCAAATTCATCAGAATAATTTCCACAAATCTGAATTAAGTCATCCTGTATCCACTGGGAACTGGCTCCAGCTGCCCCATGGATACGAAAATCTACAAATGCTCAAGTCTCTTATATAAAATGATGTCATATTTGCATAGAAATTATACATCTTTCCATATATTTCAGATCATCTCTAGATTACTTATATTATCTCTCATGAATAGTTGTTATACTGTATTGGCTAGGAAATAATGACAATGAAAAAGTCTACACATGTTCAGTGCAGAGGAAAATTTTTAACCTGCACTTGGTTGAATCCATGGATATGAAACTCACCAATACGGAAGGCCAATATTACATGCTATAACTGAGCTTTAATTTTATCCAAATGCCAACTGATTAGTTTTTCAATTTCTATGATATATAATCACTTAGAAGTTAAATGTTGTGCTTTAAGCAATTATTTCTGGAAGCTAGTTTTTCTTATATACTGTAGTCTTAACTCAAATTTCCTGAACCATCCATTGTTTCTGATGGCACCTAAGTGGTTCTCTGCATTGACCATGGTCTTTAGTTTAACATAAACACATTTTCCTTTCTTATGTTATTTTCAATTGACATATAATATTATATGTATTCATCATGTGAAACATGATGTTTTGAAGTATATACATATATATAGTCCAGGGACTAAATCCAGTTAATATATACATATTCTGAGAATAACAAACCTTCATAAGTTTTTTTATCACATCATAAGAAATGGCACAATTCATTCTTTGCAAAATAAAATTATACTTTTAATTTTTTTCTATATATTTATCACATAAAACTTAATTGCCAAGGTCTAGGAATTTAGGTCAGTGGTGCCACGCCTGCCTGGCAAGAGCAAGGTCCCGAGTTCAATCCCTGGTACCGGAAAAAAAAAAAAATTTAACAGTCAATCAACCCTGATCATTATTTTATTTTTTCTAATATAATGGGAATAGAATACTTAAGATTAACTTCATAATACAAGTAACATTTGATTCTAGTCAAACAGTAAAAGATCATTCCTTTTGATAATTTTACTCATAGTACCTTGTTTAATGATTTCACTGACTAGAGGTCAGCTTTTTTTAGAGTTCACAAATTATTTTGTCCATGTAACTTATTTATATTTTTGTTATATCTTTACTTTCTAATTCCACTTTCTTCAAGCATAAATTTTTATCCTTTTCTGTACTATTTTTTTAAAAAAGAATAAGCAAAGACTATATATTTCAAAGCAACTGTGAGTGATACGCTGTCATATGGCCATTTCTACAAATTATCTTTTAGTATATACAAATACAATACACTTGCTATAAAATTTTGATGAACTGCAGGGACATATTTCCTCCTCAGAAGTAGCGATGATTAGCAGTCTGTATATGGATAGACATACATATATTATATATATTAATAGACATTTATATATTTCTGCAAATAACTGAAATGAAATTATAATATGTTTTAGTCTTCTAGCAATAAGACTTAGAGATGATTTTTATAAATAAATGAAGACAACCTGATTGACTGCAAAAGCTAAATAATAATTACAGTATGTGTACATCATAATGAACTTAATAATTTCTCTCTTTTCATTTTTGTAACCATAGTTTTGTATGCTTGATTGAGTAGTTATACAATCATAGAAGAAAATTTTCTGAGTAAAGGGTATATAACTCAAAATTCTCCTGAGGAATTTTAAATAATTTTTCAAAGATCTAGTATTTCATGTACCTAATAAAATCTAGTACCAGATAAAAAAGCAGTTTAATCTTCATTACACAATAATGTTCATTACATATAAATCATTGTAGATATAAAATAAAATATTTTGCTCTGGGTGACACAAGTGTAACTTACTATTTTATGCCAATATATCTTGCCTGTTCTCATGTAATTTCTCACCTAGGTAGACATTTTCAGATCACCAATTATCAGAACAAACTATATTGAAATTTTCCTTAGGAATATGTTTATATGATTATAATTTCTGTGTAATTTATTCAGATATTTCTAGTTATTTTAATTTAGTTTATATTTGAATGCTTTGGCTTTTGTGGTTTTATTCTATTTTTAGCTCTTCTTGTTTACTGTTACTCAAATTAGGTATCCTTTGACTTAAATAATTTTAGTTAAAATATCTTTTGCAATTTTTGAAATATTTTATTAGAAAACTATAAGTGTGATATACATACATGAAACACAAAATATTAATGAAAAAGACAAATATATGTCTACTAG